CTTAAACAATTACAATATATTTTCTTTTTAAACTATAACGTATTCATTTCAGATACTAGAATATAGGCATGTGTCAAGAAAACTATTTAAAAAATCTATCCCTAAAAGATTTTTTGTTTCTGTTACTTTTTTTTAAGTCCTTCAAAGAGCACTTAACACATTATTATATAGAGTTTCTATTATTTTTTTTTTCTCGGAACGATTATTAAAAAAAAAAAACCCAAGTCACTCCCACAAAAAATTAAATCTTGAATCTGCTACTGACTTGATTATGACTAGGCCATAATATTTACTTTTTCATGAAAATAATTGATGCAATCAATGGGTTTCTTTATTTTAAACGTAAATTTTAATAAGAAACATTAAGTTTGTCACTTATAAATTCCTATGATAGAAATCTGGCAAAAACATAATTTCATAACCTATTATATTTAAAATATTGTTATTTTTAAATTGTTTATATTTATAAATAAAATGTGTTTTGGGGAATTATATTTATTTTAATACATCCTATATCAAGAAATAAAAGAAATAACAACAAGAAATAAAAGCTTTGAAACAGTTAATTGTTGTCATTTTTGCAAAAAACACGGGTAGTTTAAGGTGACTGGATTGGAAATCAAATTTCTTTACACAACATTAGGTGAATCTCAAAAATTTTCTTAATAAATCTCAACTTAATTTATATGGACTTAAAGCTTATTTTTTTAATTTGGGTAAATGTAGTACAGTTGAAGGGTGATAAAAAAAAATTACAAATAATTTATGACTTTTTTTTTTAACGGAACTTAGCTGGGTTTGTCCGCCCAATAGTTATCTTTAAATAGTTTTGACAATGACAAACTCTACTTTCATTTAACATAAACTTTATCTAGTTTACTATGGAGCAATGTTTAATTACTTAAATGAAATATTTTTTAAGTTTTCTCTTCCTATTAAATAAACAAAAACGTGATTCGCTTAAAAAAACACAAATCTTAAATTTCCTACTTTTCTGCTGGAAATTGGGCAATTGTTAATATAAACTTTTTTTTTTTATATCCTGATGACTCTTATCAACCTTTTAAATATTCCCCTCTACTTAGGGGACACCCTGTATATATTTCCCGATATAAAGCTTCAAATGTTGAGTAGGTTATTAGGAGGTGATTAATTGGATCTGTTGCTGAACATTTATCTGCTATTTATAATGATAACCTTTCATTTTCGTACTTTATAATAGGCTGGACATAATTAATAAATATAAAAATTTTATAGTAATTAAAAAACAGTTTCGTGTTTAAAAAAAAAAAATATATATATATATATATTTAGGGTTAGGATGGCTCTTTCCCTCCTTAAGAAGACAATATTTCCTAGGCACATTCCTTTATCAAATCATTACCGAACATCGTCCTTCTTATGCCTACAACCTTCTCCAATTTAAGTCCTCAATCCATTCCCTCACTACAAGATCTCGACCCTCTGACGTATACACCCCTTCTCATAGATCTGCTTCATTCCAAAACTCCTTTATAGCCCGCTCTGTCAACTTTTGGAATTCTCTCCCGATCAAAATTCGGCATGCCCCCTCCCAATACACATAAAAAAACAGTCAGATACCAGCTAACTATTAATACTATATATGTATTGTGTAGCAATCATATAATCATATGATAATACTTGGTAAGAGATAGTACATGCATTTTCTACTATCGACGTAGGAATTTCAATACATACATTTTTTTTTTATTCAATTATAATTAACTTTTTTTTTATATATATACAAGTAAAGTTTTTTTATGAAATGAACTTATTCTATCTCTTCTTCGTTCTTCATTTCTCAAAGTGTATGTTTATGTTGTTTAACCCTTATATATAGTTTCGTTCATAGTTTCAAGTGATTCGTTCATAGTTAAGTTTTTTGTTCATAGTTTTAAATACTCTGTACATAGTGTTATCTGTATTGTATATAGCTTGTTCACCTAACGTTTACTTTAATTTTTAGTTTATCAATTTTATTTATTGTTTCAAACTTTTAGGCCAATAATATTCTATTCTTTTGTACAATTTTGTTATTCTAAAGGGACTTAGTCCCAGAATAATTTTTTTTTTCTATCTATCTATCTATATTTTCAACCAAATTTTGTTCAGCATGACTTCTTTACAGTTCATGAGCCTGCTACATACAAGCAATGAACTTATCTTTTTTAAAAAAATAAATAACTAATATAAGGGAAAGAGTAAACATTTAAATATTGAAATACAATATTTAAATTAATAAAACTGGGTAAAAAGAACTGCAGTTGCCGAGGAAAACCATTCATTTTTTTCCCACTCCTTTAAATTTATGTAGATCAAATAACATGCCCTCGCTGAGAAGTATGTAATTATTATTATCTTTTAACTTCCATCCTTGGTCATTCACAAAAGTTGTTTCATACGAAAGATTTGCTGTAATCTTGTTTAGAAGAAGCAAAAATAAATATGTAAATTAGTTACAATAACATTTAAAAATGATTGTTAAATTACATATTTTTATGACTACATAAGTTAATTCTTGAAGAAATTACGTATCTGTAGATTAAGTCCAAGTATTCTAGCGTATACGTCGAAAACAGTTTTTGGCTCGGACAGAAAATATTTATAGCACACAGGATCAATTAGAGATAGTAGAAGGCGTTCATTTCTGTTTTGTAAACAAGATCGGACTTTGTAAACATAAGATCTTTACAGTGCTTCGGATTATATTTTTTTTTTTATTATTACATAATATTGTAAATACATATTTTAGGATCTATCACATTGAGTAATAACTTTGTATAATTTAATATTTTTTTTTCGATATCTCTCAGTACATCAACAGAATTCTCTTTTACCAAATATAAAATAAAATATATTTTGTTGTTAATCCTCTTTTAATTATTGAGTTAGTGCATATACATAAAAAAAAATTAAATAGAAACAAAGAAATCAAAAGCTTTAAGTTAATTTTAATAGATAATAAATAAGGAAGAAAATATTGAGATTCCGATGGTTAGATATTGAAATCACTTCACATTCAAATTTTTCGCTTTACTTCAAATTAAAGTATGATTAAATTAAATCAATATTTGGAATGTTTTGATTTTTAAACCGAACGAATCTCGCTATTTAAATCTATTAATATTTCTGTAAATATTCGCTAATGCCGCTTGGTATTATATGTTAATTTTGTTTTATTGTTCCAAAACTGATAATCATAGTACATGTACAACTATTTAGTATATAAATAAGATAAAACCTGGGACTGAGAGAATGGCCACTCAATATCCATTTGTGATCAATATATGATTTTCCCTCCAATTATTTAAAATATAAATGAGTGGCCTCATATCAAAGACTACACCTGTATTTTTCAGAAAACCGAGAAAATGTCAATTTTTGTATTAGAAGTTCTACTCAAACTGTTTCTGATATATTATATTGATATATATGATGATTTTATTTAAGATTGTTCATGTTGAATCATAAATCAAAATCATTACAGTTGTTCAAAACTGAAACTATGTTGTAAACATTGCCTTTTTCCCGACTTTTTTAAAAATGACAGATTCTTTGAAGCCACAAGCATATACATACAAAGTCAATACATCTATTAAATAATATAGCCTATACATCTAATAAAAACATAGGTATACGTTAAACGAACACAATTTATGTCCAAAAATCAACTATCAAAATGAATCCTTGCTGAATGTGAGCACCTTTTTTTACATTGATGATTATGCTTGTATTGAACCACAGAATTATAAATTTTGGAAGCTAGAAATTTAATTATTAAATAAATTGAACTTATTCAACTCATGCAACATATGTCAAATTTAAAATAAAAATTATTTGTTTGGTTAGTAGTGTATAGATGAATGAATAAATATATAACATTTTTCATCGTTGTTAACTACAGGAATATTCATCATCCTAAATATCAATGTAATATGGGTGCTACTTTCAGAAATTATTTTTTGTAATTGTAATGAATTCGTGTATTTAAGTAATGAAGGGATCAATCTAATATTGCTAATTGATTTGACCACTGAAATGTTTCGATGGACTGCTTGCAGCACACGATCAATTATCTACAAATATTCAGACTGTTAATGAATGAAACGATTTGAGCTCTTGGTTGAATGACGCGCTATGAAGGTGATGGATTAACTTATTCGTTAATTTAAATTAATTTCTTGAATTTAAAAAGAAAGTTGTTTCAGGTTTTCAAAACAACGATTACTTAATCAGGAAAATTAAAAGTAAATGAAACAGAATTAAAACGCAAATATGCATAAAGGTTTTTATAATAATACAATTTTCTAGTGGTAAGTATATCAAAAACTATACATTTTATAAACTGTTAATAAGTCATTTATTAATAATCTGCAACTCGTTATTTACTGTTTTAACATCTTATACAAGAAGAAAAATAAAAAAATTATTAGAAACATAGTAAAAAAACATATAAAACACATATAAACACATAATATTAAAAAAACAGTAAAATATGGACGAGAGCTTAATACTATGGACTAGACAATAATATTTAAAATGTTAATTAGTTCCGCATTTGTAGGAAAATCTTTTCTTTGTTGGCACAAGACTTTCAGTGAAGTCATATACTGCAAAACCATTTTAACAAAGAAAATAATATTCAATACTTCTATTAATCTTGAAATTACTGAATCTCAATATTTTAAAATTTACTTTTCAGATAGTGAAGCATAATATTTTTTTAATGCGATAAATGAAATGGCCCAGTAAACCAAAGACAAAGCAAATAGAAGAAAAGGTGTATATTAAAAAATAATTTTTGAAAAATATAAATTTTAGATAATTATTAAATGAAGTAAAATGAATATAGTAGTATATCTTAAAATATATAACAGATAAGTAAGTGAAATACAGACATTCGGGAACTGATCAATAAAACTGACTTGATATTCCAGAGAAAGCAGCTCTTGGTATACTTTGTCAATATAGAAGGCATAGAAACAGCTGTGCTTGACGTCACTTCGATGAAAGTGCTAAATGCAAAACATCCACTGAGGGTGACTGACTTACATTAGGTGGGGGAAAAATCTTTTGTTTTGTTTGTGTACGTTCAAATTTTCATTCTAATTTTTAGACTAAATTTGCAAGTGTCAACAAGCACCAAGTTTCTGAACTTGACATCGGTCTTGGATTATTGAGTCTCCAAGGCTGGTATACTGCACAATGAGTGAATTGAGCCAAGAAGAGGTAAGTTTGTTTTTGTTACTCATCATGTGGTAAATGTAGTATATGTTTTCAATATTTGTGGAATTCTTAGTTTTGGTCTGTGAATATGAAAAGATCATATTGGAATGGCTTTATTTTAGATTCGAAGGAGAAGGTTAGCTAGGCTTGCAGCTTTAGATACAACTCCTGGTTCATCTCAAGGAAATAATGTACCAGTTTCTCCAAATTCATCTTTAGCTACATCTCCAGTTACACCTGGACCTACAACTCAGCCTAGGGGTAAGATATATTTTTCTTGTAATATTATGTTTTGCTATAAGTGATGACTATGAAGTCAGTTTTACAGTGTTTTTGTTTCATATACATATGCCTTTAAACAATCACTGATTTGGTCTCAATTTTACCAAAGCTAATAAGATATATTAGGGCCTGCACTTCTTGACTTGTAAATGGCTTTGTGTAGGGTATTTTGTGATCTAGAATTTTGTATTGTAATTTTAGTGAATTGATTTCTAAATGATACATGACTTTTTATTATTATGTGTGTATTAAAAGCAGTGAATTTTACTTTTTAGAGCTGGATTTGCCATATTGCAGTGAGTATTGCATTATAAGTTGGAGTAGTGTTTTGCTTTTAATAGACTAGTCACCCTTTGGACTTTTCTTGTACAATTTGTCAACAAAACATGCTTCTCTCTAAATCAGTACCTGCATAACCCTTTGCAATTAATTATAAACCTTATTCATGTGGCTCTTTGTTTTATTTTAGTTGACAGTAATAACAAAAACTATGCAATAATTTTAATGTTATTTTATTATTTCCAATTTCTGCTTTCATAATGTTATGTCTTGTATGCCATTTGTGCTGACTATTTTATTTTTGTGACCATTGAGCAAGAATTTAAAGTTAAAACATGTTATGTGGCTTGATTTTATTTTTTTTTCATATTTTATTATTAATTATTTGTTGTTATTATTATTTAAGATTTGTTTTTTAACTTTCTAATCCACTTCTGGATAGTTAAAGTTTAAGGGAGGGATGAATGAATCTGTTACATAAAAGTATTGTTATGCCTGGTGAATGTGACATACCATTTCTGAATCTCTCTCTCTCTCTAAGGTTTATAACATCCTTTGTTTAGAAAAACATGCTATGATGCTTCCTATTGAGTGGCATTTGAATTAGAATAGTTTTATTAGGATCACCTTATTTTTTTATAATGATATCATATTTTTATAGATGTTGGCTATGGTAAAAGTGATTCACAAAGTACTGACTCATCTGCAATGGAAGTAGAAGAAGGTAATTCTGAGGCCGAAACAGGCGGAGGAGGGAATGCTGAAACAAAAGGAAGTCAAATAGATGTGGACTCAGGTATTGAAAATATGGAAGTAGAAGAAACCAAAGAATCTACTCCACGCGTAAGTAAAATTTTCTTTTATTAATTTTTTGTTAATTTTATTTAACTGCAACTATAAAAACTATGATGACTATTTGCTAATATTCCATTAGTAAAACTTGTTTATTCAATTATGGAAATCATTTAAATATAACATCATATATGTAAATATCTTTTTTTTTTAAAAACATTCTAAATAATGTTAAAGGTTATGATTTTTGGGTGATGAGTGAAATAATAAATTTGCTTTGTTCACTCCTTAAATTTAAACCATCATTCATTTAAAGCTTTTGCAAAATATTCCTTAATATTCTAGCACAAGTTACATAACCATAGTAAGGGAAAGCCAATAGGATTCATAAGGAAACTAGATTAGAATTGCAAAAATCTTAATTTTATTTATGGGCAAAGATCTAGAAAGCAGGGATTAATTTACTTAACAGAATTATATTGTGGTTACATAAGAACAAATAATCAAAAATATGACTAAATTAATCGTTAGTTTATAGTTAAAAGATAGCATACATAAAACCTCGAGCCTGTAAATTACTGCTAAACAGGTAAATGTCAACATTTTGCTAATTCAGCCATCTTCGGTACAGATAAAATAAGATCACATATACCCGCACCAAAACACAGTGCATCTCACATCAATAGTTTTAAACATATGCATCTCTTAAGAAATTTATATATTTCTTAATGATGTACAGATGGTTGACCGTTGATATAATATGAGAAGGAGTTAATCGGGGGTGCGGTCAAATAAATACTAAATTAAAATATATTAATTATTTAATTAAATTATTACTATATTTTAATTTAGTATTTATTTGACTGCACCCTCTCCCCCCTCCCCCCGATTAACTCCTTCTCGTATATATTTCTCAGTGATTTTATTCCATGTTACTGAGATTATATCTCGAGGGTGCGTTATTAGATGCCTTGTAATGATATATATTCTCTAAATGTTGATCATGTTTATTGTGTCCTGATGATGCTTAGATTTACAAAATGTTAACAGATTAATTTTTTATTTGCTGTTTAGATAGTCAAGACTTGATGTTTAGAATCTTTGATTTTATTATAGTAGTTAATGTTATTAATTGAGTAGATTAATAATGGCATTGAATAAAATGTTTCTGAGGTAGCAATCTTCTGTCCAATGTTATTCTTTTTATAATATATTTAATTGAATTATGTATAAATATTGATATCTATACCAACAATGAATAAACATGATTAGAGTATAAAAGTATTCCTGCAATGACCTGTGTGTATCCAAAACTGGGTGGGAAGAAGTGCTATAGGGGTATTCATGCAAGCAGTTCTAACTTCTGTAAATCTCTTAAATGCGTAAAGTCGAGAAAATTATTTACGAAATGTGTCCTAAATATGGCTGATAGTACTCTCGATTTTATTGCAACCTAAGGTCTTGCAAAGTGTTGCTAACTTTGTTAATGCTCTAAGAAGATTATTGTAAGGTTTTGATGTGTTTGATTCTTTGTTTACATATTACGAAATTCACAGAAATAGAATGTTCAGACAACTAGGATTTCATATATATATTCATCAAGTTCTTTGCCTTCTGATTCATCCGAATCTTCATTCAAGCTTTCTAATAAAGCATTTTTAACCAAATAATATAGCAATTCAGACTTTTCATTTCGCTTTGACATTTTTAAAATAAATCTGAACGTTAGTAAATCAATTAAGAACTCACAAACTTTGTTTACAGTGCAGGCATTACCTTACTATAATTAATAACACTTCAGCAAAGATAGGTTATTTACTATTCATTCAAAATTTATGCTGACTGCTTAGCATGATAGCACATTAAGCATTTACAATAAGTGCATGAGTACTCCTAATATTTTTGTTAATTAACATCTTTACCTATAAAACTGCATAAAATCATGTTTCATGTTATATATAACTACAATTTGCTCTTGTTTTTTTATTTTTTTCTTCACATTGACTAGAAAATAGAATAGATATCTTCTGTAACATTGTTTTGTTCATGTTCTTTCAATGAATACCTATTCTACATAATACCTATAATTTACTTGAAAGTTATCCCTTGGATTCTTTAAAAGTTATAAAATGGAGTTATTATAAATAATTTCATATTTATAAGTAACAATATGATGGTTAAACACAAAATTGTTTTTAACAAACTTATAATTCTGTTTTAAAAAAAACTCTTCTAAGAAGAGCTCAATACTTTACTGTATCCAACTATAGTGTCAGTTTTAACCCACAGTTCTGAATTATAAGTATTAATTTGAAGAAACTCTAATGCTGTGAGATTCCCTATAAGATTCTTTGATATTAATTATTAAAGTTTTGTATGTTAATATATTTTTTTAAAATGTGGCAATTTTTTATTTTAGAGATCTAGTGAGGGTGGGGGCACTGAAATGACAGAAGAGGCTCTTAGAGTTACAGTACAAAGAATTCTTTGTGTCTCATGGACCGAAAAAACAGAAGACACAATCTTCCTTGCAGAAACTGCCAATTTCATAGCTGAAAAAGAAGTAGCTGGCATAACAGTTGATATGCAGGTTTGTTTTCTGCTAATATTTGTCTTATGTTTTGAACTACAGTACTTTCTTATTTCCATTTTGCTTAATATAAATTTAACTACTAATTTTGTCTCTTTGTATGTCCAATTGGCTGTTGTTAATTGACGTTATCCTGATGACTTATTTAATAACTAAAATAATTAATTCAAATTTAGCTAACAATACAAAAACTTAGTTCATAACTGAAGCGTGTGGTTCTTTCAAAGGCAAAGCATTCGTAAAAATATACTTTTTAGTTAATTAAAACTTAATTTCCTTTCTGTACTTAAATGTACTTAATAGAATAAATTATAAACTTACTATACTTTTTTTTTTCCTTTTTTTAAATTTCCTATGATAACCTTACTACTGCTTTAACTCTTTAACTCTTCTAGTTATGAACTTGTTAACATTCTTGTTTAACATTGCATGATTTGCTTTGCAATTTTCATTATTTATTTATTTAATACATTATCATTGATTTTTTTAATAATAACTATTATTCTTTTATAGGATTTAATCAGCCAGTGCATTATGGAGGTTATATACCGAATTGCTGGAGGAGATAATCCACTTATTGCTGCTGCATCTACAGTTCCTAAGCCTGCCATTGATATCGCAATAACATATCTGACTGATTCGTATTCTCGTGTAGCTGTAGAAGAAAGGAATCATCCTAAAGTAAGATGTGTTTATGTTTCCATAAACAAACAATTTTTTTTTGCCATTAATGAACTCGTTGAGGCCTATTTTGTGCACATACATTACTATTTAGCTTTATTACTGCTTATTTGATAATATTAATTTAAAAGTCAAATTTATTAAGGGTAAATTACTACAGTAATAAATAAACTACTATCAGTCTATGAATATATGTATGCATGTTCGATAAGGTTTCTATTCTACTCATTAAACATTTTGAATTTTTATAATTAATCAATTCCTGTTAGTTATTTTTGATATAGTCGGACCACTGTAAAAAATGCACAGCAATTTTTAATAGTCCTATTATTAAAATAAAGTGATGGGTTGGAAAGAAATAGCAATATAGTGATCAGAGTAGACAATTTATGTTTAATTTTGTGGTGGACCAGCAATACTTGCATCTCTTTGTGCTTTGAGATGGACAAGCCTACATATTTATCAAATATATTTATTTTTTTATTTACTTGATATTAAGTTCCATCTGTTAGATTATGCTAGTAATAATTTAATAATATAACTTATGAAATTCCAAGTTAAAATATAAAGGTAGAACTTTAAAAACTTATTACATCTCAAGAGGATTATTTTTGTTTATTGGCCAATTCAGCAGTGCTGTTTTTTAAAATAAACTATTTTGTTGGTTTGGTGAAATTTAATAAAATTGTATTTTTGTCTCAAAATTCAAAATTAGAAAGCATATTATATGATTGATTTTTTAAAATAATAATGTATTTTAGAGCTAATTAAATCAGTAGCTGGTCTGGTGTTAAATTATTTTTATATTTTACAGAAAAGCAGTGTTCGCCCACTTCGATGGCTCCTTTCCGAAGTACGCTGCCAATGTGTACAGTTCACAGCAATGGTCCTTCAAGGCTTGCTATTTGATAGTGGTTCACCTCTCGTTTCTCCGCTTCTTAACCCATTGCTCACTGGTACATTACCCCGTGGGTTCCTGCACGAGTTACTCTCTAGGATATATTCCAACCCAGAGGCTTTGAACAAAGTAAGTCTAAAACAATATTCATAATATTTTTATTAATATTTGACCTAGCTACGAATATGACTAGATACATCTCTTCTGAGATATATTGGTTTTTGGATTTTCTTCATCATAACATGATATTTTCTTGTATAGCTGGTATTCTGAATTTTGTTGTTATGCTTGATGATGCAATTTGATTAGTGTGAATTACTAATGGCATTGGTAATTGTCATTTTGAGAATCATTAATAAGTCATTGATATTCTGCTGATACCTCTAGAAATTAGTGATGTTAAAGTTCTAAATAGTATTAATATATTTGTGTGGTTTTGTGTAAACTTGCAAATTGAACATAAAATTGTTAATGAGCACTTTTAATAAAATATAGATAATTGTTTGAAAGAAAAAAATTCTGAATTTTAACACTGCACTATTCTTATTTCATTTTATATCTATATTATATAAAAAAGTTTTTAGTGACTCATATTTTCTTTTGTTTTAGTATTAGGATGGTAGGAGATATTAGGAGCTCGGCGATTATTTTACAAATTATACAGTTGTTCATTTAATTACACATCTGTTGAGCTCCTTATATCTCTTACTCTTCTAATACAAAATGAAGGTTAGATTAAATATTTGTACGGAAAATGATTTTTTTTTATGTTGATATAAAAATTGTTTATGTTGATAAAAAAATTGTTTTATGTAGATAACGAACAAAACAATCTGAACTACAGAATACATGTAAATTAAAGCTATACAATTTGAGCAATGGGTAGTACAATTAAATGAACAGTTGTATAATTTGTAAAATGGCGGTTGCTCTGCCGTTGGGCACTACTAGGGTGTCTCCCTAGTATTAATATATATTCAAAACTGGATTAACTCTTTAGGGTTCTTTTATTATTAAATATATATATATATATATATATATATATATTTTTTTTTTTCTTCTTTTTGCCTGTTACCTTAAAATTACATGTTGCTGTTTAATTTCAGGTGTTCAGCCCTCTTCTTCAAGGGCTGTTCAGACACATGCAGACAGTGTCATTGACAGATAATGCTCACAGGAAACCATTGGAAGGTCTCGCAGAGCTTGTGGATATCAGGCCTGGGTCGGGTGGAAATTCTAGGCCTATATGTTCTCTGATTACTAACCAGGTATCAAACTGTTTATATTTGTTTTTTATTTAATTGCAGATAAAACACATTTATTGAACTAAATCCCTTGAACAAATTTACATCAACTTAAAAAAACAAATTTTGTCCATTTGTGAAGGTTTCTTTGTTATGTTTATATGGTGTTGAGAAAGGTGTATGAAAAATACATACATGTACACTACAGGATAAATAGCATACTTCAATAGATATAGATATAATTATCTAAATAGATTTATGTTTTGATTCATATAAATTAATTCTTGTTAAGCATTAAATGTGGAAATAATGGTTGAACCTGTGTAAGATGTATTTATCAGGGGTTCTTAAGAATGAATAAGATATATTTATCCGTATGGTGTTAATTTATCTTTTATATTGTGACGCATTACAATTCATCATTAGAGGTTTAAGCATTTAGATAGAAAAGGAGATTTCTAATATTTTTAGCATCACATACTGACCAGATTCCTTTCTAATTTGTTAAGTAAGATGAGCTATGTTATCAAAACTGTTTTTTGATTTTATACCCTTCCATATCTTAAAAAACAGCTACACTGAAATTAAATACGAGCATAGTTTTCTGATTAGAGAGAGGAAAAATTCATTACATTATTAAATACATAATGATTTATTCAGTGAAATATTACTTAGTGTTTTTTTTTTTCAATAAACTGATGATATTACCCTTTACCGTGGATTTCAATATCTAAAAAAATAATGACTTGCTAAGTGCTTTTATTGAAGAATATGAATTGATAATTTTGTTGATGATGGTAGATCTTTAACCTTTTAATAATAAGATTTGTTTTGAAAAATTGTAAGACTATCAAATATAATATAATAATCAGATTTTTTTTTGTGATCTATAGGTTCAGTTCTTACCAGAAACTGTCACAAATGCTGCCGGGAAAGAAATAACCAGAACATCATTTTTGGGACCTTTTCTGAGAGTATCTGTCTTTCCTGAGGAGGACCCGAAAGTAGCTGAGAAGCTTTTTTCTGGAAATTCGTCTACAGACAAGACCCTTTATTCATCCTTACAGCAGGAACTAGAAAACTCTAGGGTATATTTTTCATTTATAATTATTTTTACGGTTATTTATTATTATCTATTTTATAAATTATCATATTAAATGAATCAATATGTTTGTCTTTTATACAAACAGTAGTGTTCCTTACTGGTTTTGATGAAGTTTTTGTACGTGATGTCTAAATTAAGAGAAATGTGTATATAGCATTTCCAAGTCAATTTCAACCTTTTCCAAGTCAAATTCAACCTTTTCCAAATCAAATTAAACTTTTTCCAAGTCAAATTCAACCTTTTCCATTTCAAATTAAACCTTTTCCATTTCAAATTCAACCTTTTTTTTATTTATTTAATTATCTTTAATTTTTCGATGTGTGGGTCTGTTATCGTATGAGTAGTTTTTGAAAATAACCTCCTTTTTAAGATTACGTGACTGAGTTTCGAATTATTTAAGTTTTTTTGAATTATTCGATATAAGGGTGTATTTTTATGTTTTCCGATCAGTAAATTTTGAAAATGACATCCATTTTATGTTTACGCCACTGTGTTTTGATTTATTTAAGTTTTTAGAATTTATCCAATATAAAGGTCTACTTTTATGTTTCTGGAGCCGTAGATTTTGAAAATGACCTCCATTTTAAGATTAGGCCACCGCGTTTCGACTTATTTGAGTTTTTCGGATATTTTTCATATGAGGGTGTATTTTTATGTTTCCGGGGCTGTAGATTTTGAAAATGACCTCCATTTTAAGATTAGGCCACCGCGTTTCGACTTATTTAAGTTTTTTTGATTTATTCGATGTAAGGGTGTATTTTTATGTTTCCGGAGCTGTAGATATTGAAAATGACCTCCATTTTAAGATTACGCCACTGCGTTTCAACTTACTTAAGTTTTTTTGATTTATTCGATGTAAGGGTGTATTTTTATGTTTCCGGAGCTGTAGATTTTGAAAATGACCTCCATTTTATGATCACGCCGCTGCGTTTTGACTTATTTAAGTTTTTCGAATTTATCCAATTTAAAGGTCTACTTTTATGATGCCGGAGCCTTAGTTTTTAAAACGACTTGCATTTTAAGATTAGGCCACTGTGTTTCGGTTTTTTTAAGTGTTTTTGATTTTTCCTTTGAATAAAAAACAAAATACGATGGATTAATTTATTTTTCAATAAATAAATAAAAATATCTAATCAAAATAAATAAAATATGTATTGTCTCAATCCATGAAATTTTGGAAAATTGTCCTATATGATTACATATTTGGCCTTTATGACACTTTTGAGCCGACCCATTAGGACTCGTTGGTGGCTACTTCAGCTAGTTATTATTATTATACTTAAAATATTTCTGTTATTATTAATAAATTTATATCATCTTTAAAAATGCACCATAGAAGAGATGATTAAAGTTAATATTTCGAAAATGTGTTAGTTGTCAGTTTTATAAGATTAATTTTTGATCATGTTTTTTTTTCTCTTTTAATTAAAAGTTTGGAAATTAGATATTCAAGTAAGTTATGATCATTAAAGTTTTAATTTTTTTTTTCAGACAATAATGTACAAAGTTTTGCATGACATCCTCGTGAATACTAATTCTCGAGAATCAATGCTTGCTTATATTGCTTCTGTACTAAAGAAAAACGAAAAAAGGACCCAGATGCAGGCTGATTTTAAAACTCTTGCTGGAGACGGTTTTATGCTCAATCTTCTGTCAGTTTTACAGATGCTGTCTTCAAAGGTTTGTTTTGTTTTTTCATTTTCCATACATTTCAATCACTTTTATTCCTTGAATTTATCAGTATTAAATAATTACATGTAATTTATGTCATTTTAAAATAATAAGCTAATTAATGATCTTCAAACTTATCCAGACAGATTGCTATAAAATGAGTGTTATTTTATTAAATGTTTTCATTTTTTTTTCTGGGCTATTATTTTACATTTGTTTAATAGTGTAATTGTGGTTGAGCAAACATTTTTCTAATAGTGGAAACTTAGTAAATTTACCTCTTAACAATGTCCAATAATTGTGTGCTTTATATTTCCGTCTAAAACACTTTGTTGACTGGACTGTATCTGACAACATAGATTTTTTTTTACTGTTTTTATAAATTTATTTATCTCTCTTCTGTTCAGTTATCCTAATTTTGGTGTCTTGAGGTTTTATATTTATATAAGTTAGGCCAATTATCACCAAACATTTTATTGATACGTTATTTATACCATACTAAGGGTCATTTTCAAGTCGTTGATGAGTCCTCCGTTATATCTTTGAATGACTGAAGTTCCTCCAGAAATGACGTAGGTGAAACCCCTATAGACCTGGACAATTTAATGTTCACTAAACATATTATTAATCATGAAGATATAACGGAGGACTTATCAAGGACTTGAAAATGACTCTTAGTATGATCGAAACATCGAATTAAATAACGTATCAATAAAATTTTTGGTGATAATTGGCCTAATTTATATAAATATAAAAAATTTATTTATCTCAATTCTGTTTTTATATCAACAAAAACATATTCTATTGAAGGAAATTAGTCGACTGGTATACATATTATTGGTTTAAATATTCGGGACACTGTCATTGTAAAGATTTTATTGGTGCCAAAATTTCAACCTAATTTTGTTGGCCATCATCAGGGATATTCAAGTACTCAAATACCTTCAGTGCTCGAAACACGCCCTGATGATGACCTACATGTATGGGTTGAAACGTTATTTATCACCCCAAAACATATACTAGTTTAAATTTAGATTGGATTTATATAAGTAAATATTACAGTAAGTGTTAGTGAGTTACATAGACTTATAAACAAAATAATGTTTAAAGTTGATTAATGAGGAATGTAAAGGTTTTGATTTCATTATTTTCAGGTTAAACTGGAAAATGTCGATACATTATATCCTTTCCATCCGTCCAGTATGGTTGATATCAAAGATGATACCAGGCTTAAATTCACCTCCCAAGAATCAACTGATTGGCTTGATCAACTAAGTAATTATCATTTAACTCTTATGGTTTCCATTTATTGTGGTCTTTATATTTTAATATTAAATCATTGTTTTCTTTCAGACAAAAGTGTGGTTTGGAAAGAGCCCAATTTTTCGACACAATGTTGGTTTCTAACTCTCCACTGCCATAATATTGCACTCTTGCCAGCTCTTCAGAGATATCAACGTCGACTACGATCTCTGAGGGACTTACAAAAATTAGTTGATGAAATGCAAGCTTCTGAGGACCAGTGGAGGTGTTTACCTCTTGCTCCGAGAAACAAAGAATTGATCAAACGTTGGAAACATCAAATCAAGGTATGTTCTAGGTTGATCGTGCTTCTGAGGTAATTATTTTGAGGGTATTGGGTTAATATTCTAAATGAAATTCAAATACATCAGATATTGTTTCTATGATGATGTTTCTGCAGTTAAGGATCCATATAGTACTGAAAGGCTATTCTTCCTAATGGTTATGTCTTATTTAGCACCATTTTTTATGATGAGTGCTTTTATTTTCCAATACCTACCTTCCAAAATATATTATTACAGATGTCATTACGTTATGTTACAGATATAAAGTTAGACACTCGAAATAGACCTAAAACTGTTCTTGTGTTGCTTATTATTATTATTATTAATAACCCTTCTTCTTAGCTGCTTGTATTGTTGCTTGCTTATTAATGGAAGATGGATAAGCATGATATAAAATCTTATGGAGTTAATATCTCTATTTATATGACTCTGCACTTATTTCATGGCATTGATTAATATAAGCACTTATATGAGTGCTTGTATTTTCCAATACCTGCCTTCTATAATACTTTATTGCAGATATTATCCATAAATTTAGGCAACCAAAACAGATCAAAAACTGTTTTTGTATCATGATTTATTATTGAACCCCACATGCTTGTCTGCTCATTTATTGTTGATTATGTTCCCTCTTTTAAGTTTTTTTTTACCATGAAAATATGATATTCCCTACCATTCATTGGGGTGGTTCATATGAACCTTTCTTCTTAATTGCTTCCTTTAACAACTTTAATAAGTAGTAAATCGAAGCACTGATATTGTTACTTGCTTATTAATTATTAATGGAAGATGGATGAGCATCTTGATTTTATTGTAGAGTTCTTTGAATCATATGGAATCTATACCATAATCTCTTTATTTATATGGCTCTACATTTATTTCATGACTGTAATTAATCTAATTATGATTAAACTTACCCCTACCACCAGTCTTTAGATTCCTTTCATTTCAGTAATTCTTTCACTGTTGCCATTCATCCGTTTTTTGATAGTATTTTTTTTTTTCTTCTTTTTCAGAAGTTGACAAAAGGCAAAGCATGCACAGAAGCAGGCCTCCTTGCTCCTGCTCTTATGAGACGATCCTTACTTTTCTATACGTCTGTTGGTGAATTTCTTCTTTCGACACTAACAAATGGGGATGTATCGAAGATACCTAATCTTCCGTTGCCTCATGAGCCACCTGCAACATTTGCTGCTCTTCCTGAATGGTATGTCGAGGATATTGCAGAGTTTCTTCTGTTCCTACTCCAGTAAGTATACATTTATTATTTTTTCCTATATATCTGTATTCTTTTGTTGTCACTCTTGAGAAAATTTGATCAGATTTGCAATTTACCAGTTTTTTAAATTAATACATTTTTTTAACAAGTAAAAATATAGCTTTTTTAACTAAAGTAACTTTTTCAACTGTAAGTTAAAAGTCCTTTAAAATTTAAACTTGCTGTAGTTAGTTATTACTCTCAACAACCCACATTATCTTTTCCATCAAGTCTTGCAGGCCATGACTGCTGGTGTTAAAAATATTAGTACATCCCCACAAAAAAATATATTTCTTTTTATTTACTTTGGTTCATCCATCAGTCTTATAATTAAAAAAAAAAAATCAACAAATTTCCATATAATGCCCTAAATGGCTTTTATTTAAAATTTACTAAAATTAAATTTAAAAAAAGTTTTTCTGCTTAGTTGTACATTTCTGTCATAATTGTAATGCAAGTTGTTGGTAGGACCATTTTCGAGAAAATCATTATTATATGTAATAATAATGATTAACCTGTATTTTCTAGGTATATAAGTAAGAATATTTTTTTCTTACCAGTGATTTATTCTACCATTTATTCCAGTCAATTACATCATTACATGATAACGTTTCGGGATCCACTTATATCCCATCTTCAGACAGTATCCCGCATCATTTTATTCTCCATAAGACTTGTCATATTAATTAAATTGTTTTATTATTGTCCTATTGCTAGTCCAGTATCTGACTAGGCTCTCCCTAGAGGAGACTAAAATAGGATTTCCAGCAATAGGACAATAATAAAACAATTTAATTAATATGACAAGTCTTATGGAGAATAAGATGATGCGAGATACTGTCTGAAGATGGGATATAAGTGGATCCCGAAACGGTATGATGTAATGATGTAATTGAGTGGAATGAATGGTAGAATAAATCACTGGGAAGAAAAAAATATTCTTAAATATTTAATTATTAGATGTATTATAATATTTAGAAGCTTAGTTTTCGTTAAGTTTTAATAAAAGGTTTTCTGTCTCTGTGAGCCATTACTTCTTGATTTCTGTTCATGAAAAACGTCCCCTACTAAATTAATTAACAGTAACATTGACTATGAATCATTTTGCAGGTACATGCCAGGCGTTGTTGCAGAAACTATGGATGACACACTTTTCACGTGGCTTCTTGTCTGTGTTTGTACCCCTTCTGCAATAAAAAATCCTTATCTGGTTGCAAAAGTTGTGGAGGTCCTCTTCGTTCTTGTGTCTGGTCTCCTTTCTCGGCACAGTGTTCTTCAAGATAGGTTCATGTCTCATCCTCTTTCAGAAAGCCACCTTGCTTCCTATTTAATGAAGTTTTATACTGGTAACTTTTCTATCTGCTATTTTTAATCATATTAGATTACTATTTTTGGCTAAACATTTAATATATAAATATTGTTTCTTTCCTAGATGTGGAAACAACAGGTTCTAGCTCTGAATTTTATGACAAATTTACAATTAGATATCATATAAGTTTAATCCTAAAGAGTATGTGGGATAGTCCTGTACATCGAAATGCTATTATTAAGGAATCCAAGTAAGTTTTCAATAATAATATAGAACTATATTATACATCATGCATGAACTTTTGTAGAGGTCTATTATATCTTTGTTGCAATGTATATGTAAGTTTCTTTATTACTACATTAATAGTATTCTTAGTGATTTATATGTCGATTTTTGAATTTTTTCAAGTGTTTTATTAGGACTATTATCCTGTTTATACCTAGCTAATTAATTCCATTGGCGGTTCCTTCATTAATAACTCTCCGATATCATTTGATTCCTATAAGGTATGAACCTGTTTCTCGTGTCATGTCTAGAATCAGCATTCCTAATAGCTAATTTTTTAATTATAATTTATTTGATTTTTTGTTTTACTGAAAATTAGTTTTGATGTGAATAAATTTTGATCAGAATAATTTTTTATCCAAAAGAAATTTAATTTTAGAATCAGTAACTGAAAATGTATTTTTTATAATAGGATAAAATGAGCTCTAAAGGATTTGAGTTTTCTCAACTCAAGCCAACATTGCAGTTCTGAGAGCTCACCATAAAAGGAGAGCATATCTCCAACATTATTAGTTTTTTTTAGTATTAATTTATTTAGTTGTTTTTTACTACTGTAGAAAAAAAAAAGCATTTCTCCAAAATAAAATGCTAAAAAGTCTATTGACTATGAACAATTCAATACAAAATTAAATAATTTTAATTTTAAAGCATGATAACAAGTACATGCTCTTATCATATAGTATTTTTCCCTTTTCAATTTTTCTGGGTAGTTCGGTTTCCTGATTCAGGAAAGGCTTGTTTGCTTGCACAATGTTGAATTCTTCATTATACTGAAGTATTAACCTGAGGAAATTAAAACTATTTTTTATCAAAAAATATTAAATATCTGAATAAATAAAACAGTTTTCCATCCAAACAAGTCCACTTTTCCAAAAATGCTCCGACTGCAATAATTTATGATGTTTTTTGTTATTTTAATGATAACTTTTTAAAGAATCAAACCTTCTGAGCTTTCAGCTCAAGACTAAAAAGTTTGAGCTTATTTTTAAAAATAACTATCGCAGGCTCCTGATGGGCTATAGCTATTATTAGTGTTTGTATTTCAGAGGAAATGGACTCAGCAAAATGTTTTTAAATTGTATAATTTTTAAAATTGATGAATAAATTATTTTATTTGTTTTTAAATAGTGATTTTTTTTTTATTTTTAAATTTATGTTTAATCTTTGCCATTTTATTTTAAACAGGTCTGGAAAACAGTTTGTTAAATTTATCAATATGCTTATGAATGACACAACTTTCCTTCTTGATGAAAGTTTAGAATCTTTAAAGGTGACAATAAATAATTATTATAATTATATTTGAGCTTATTTTTCTCTCTTTGAATTATCAATTAATTTTTCTTTTCATTTTGCTTAGAGGATACATGAAACCCAGGAGCTAATGGCTGACCAAGCGGGCTGGGCTGCTCTCACAACGGAGCAACAGCAAGCCCGCACTAGACAGCTGGCAGCGGATGAGAGGCAGTGCAGGTAGATTAATCGATTATGCAAAGATGTTCATTTCATGACATTTATGAATGTTAATTTTCTTTTACACTTTTATATGATTAATTTTAATTGATTTTTGTTTTATAGGTCTTATATGACTCTGGCTCGGGAAACTGTTGATATGTTTCATTATTTGACAGATGAAATCAAGGAACCTTTTTTGAGATTGGAATTAGTAGGAAGACTTTCAGCTATGCTCAATTTTAACCTTCAACAGCTTTGTGGGCCAAAGTGTAAGTTACTATGAGTATTTAAGAAATTATGGACTTGAGCTATAATAATGCTTATATTTGTAACTAGTCATTACTTGTAGGGATGAAGTATTATATTCCTTTTAAATCTATCTAAATAAAAGCCTTTATGTTAGTTTTTTATGTCTATTCACACTCACAGGTCAGTATAGACAGAAATCAAAATTTAAAAACTATAGTCAGTTTTTAATAAATCTCTTCAGGTGAAAGTAATATTTATTTTATATATCTTTTTTTTTTTTTTTTATTTCTTATGACATTTACAACTGTATTACATAAATACATCAAGTAAATTTGGACATAATAGATATAATGACATGAATACACTTGCTGAGTAACTACCCAATGGTAGCACTCTAATGATATAACTACATTAGGAGATCACGGGGCCATCTTCTTTTCAGACGCCTCGGAGTGTTATCAGGAATTGAAGAGGAAGCAAGGTTAGAAACGAGAGGGTTGGGATGATTCTGAAGTTTATTATGGAAGGATAGGTATCTGGATTGGGCCAGATCTGAAACATAAGGAACATTAAGATCTATATGGATAATTTTATTAGTGACAAAGTAAGGAGCATTGAGGATTTTACGAAAAATTTTGGATTGTAAGGATTGGATGCGAGAGGAATTCGATGGTTTAGTGGAGCCCCATAGCTCAACTCCGTAAGTCCAAATAGGTCTTATTATAGTCAAGTATATGAGTCTTTTGTAATTAATGGGAAGTTTAGAGCGTTTGTCTAGTAAGTGCTGAAGTAATCGGAAACGTCGAGCGGTTTCTTGTCGTTTCAGTCTAGTATGAGGATTCCAAGTTAGTCGTTTGATTTTATATATCTAAATGAAAATTATATTATAAATCGTGTCATTGAGGTTCATATTTGAGATGGAAGCTTTTATTTTGGAAGGATTGAAAGAAATAACTCCCGTTACAAAATGGCCAATCAAGGTTTCTTCTCCAGTTTTTTAATCTTAGTCTATTTTTAAAAATTGGCTTAAAAATATGATTTTTCTTTATAAATGCTGAATCATCATAGATATTAAGAACTATTTTATAACATAGTAAAACGTTATGTAGTAAATGAATGAATCATGAGCAGGCTGTGCAGCACATTCACATTTCCTTGCCCTCTCTACTTTTAATCCATGGATAATTTAAGACACTATCCAACCTGCTGATGAAGCTTGGCATAATTTCAGATACCTATTTTATATCTTAGTTGACCGAAAAGCATTTGTCAAACCATGGTGCTCACTTTTAAATCCCACTGATTTTCTATTAATCTTTTATATGTTTGCCACGTTGGGTTCAGTATAGGTTTTTCACAATTTTTATTAGGCGTATACTTTCTTATATTTCAAGTTCAATGATTTCTCTTGAAATATAATAAATCAACGAAATTGTTTAAGAAAAAAAAAAATATTGAGGAAGTCATGAATGGAAGTAGATTAAAGTGATTTCAAGCCAACCAGCCCAATTCCTGAAAATTTCATCAAAATCTAATTAATGATGGGTAGGTGATTTTATTTAAAAATTAAAATGGGAGTGGTCGGTCATTGTCAAATCTGAGAACTGAATTGTTTCCAAATTCCGCCTAAATACATAGCAACTCAAAAAACAAAATAACGAACTTCAAGAAAGTAATAAGTGCTTATCTAGTCGTAATGACTTTAGAGATTCGCCATTTGAGTTTGTACTGTTCAAATTCTGAACAAATAAATGAATGAAGAATGAATTATTAAATTTAAAATAAAATGTTTATCTAGCAAAACTAGGTTGACAAAGCTCCAATAGTATCTAGATCAGAAGAAGCAGTAGCTAGCTTGCACAGAATTTGATGAATTACAAGGCTTTGAAGTGAGTTTATCAGCCCCTAACAAATAGGTCATCACAGCGTTGAATGCTAGCATTAAAAGTCAAAACATTATTGCTAGATATTCTTCCTTTATGTTTATTTTAGTAATGGAGAAATATTTTCTCATTAATGAATAGATCAAGTTAATGAATCTTTTAAATTAATATATATATTTTTTTGCATCCATTATCTTCTCTTAGTCATTTAAAATGATTAAAAAATATAAAATTTCTACATATTTGATTCCTTCAAATGTTTTCTTTAATATAAATAATTTTAGGATTAAAGAGTGTTCTAAACAGTTTGCAACCATACTGACATCAGATTCGTATTCTCACTAATGGGTTATAGATATATGCCACGAATAAGTAATTATTGAAATATATTCCTGAGGAGTATTTTCTTTTATTTCATCCAGGACAGTCATTAGTAAACTAATACTGGCAAAATTAGTTATCTTTTTGTCTTGATGACTCATAGGTTCAAAGTTAAGTTTTTATGTGGACTATTTGATCACACCCTTCCCAACTATTGGGAGAAGGGGTTTGCTTTTTGTTTTCTTTAATCTCTTAATACATTTTTTCAATTTTATAATGGATATTTATACCTGATTTTAATAATTTTGGATTTATTTTTAAAATATTTTTTTTTTTTAAAGGTAAGAACCTGAAGGTCAATGAACCTGATAAATACGGGTGGGAGCCCAGAAGACTTTTGAGCCAACTTGTTGATATTTATCTCCATCTTGATTGTAATGAATTTGCAGCAGCGATTGCTGCCGACGAGGTAATTTATTTTTATTATTTTATCTGGAGTTAAACTGCTCTATGTAATTTTAATAAACTTTTTGATAGTGCTGTTTACATGTTGTCGAAATATTGTTATATTCCATAATAAGTTATATTTCGGGAAGCAAGGCAGTTAGACCTAACTCATGACCAGTACACACAATACAAACAAGTGGAGTGCATTAATGTTGCTGTTAAACAGCAATACGTTGACATAGTACAGGTTATCTCAAATATAAATGAATTTATTCTTGAAGTAAGATTATTTGTTTGAAACAATTTACTTGATAATTTGTAATTTTAATATTACCATTAGGCAGAATTAATTATTAATTAACTACTACAATTAAATTAGGTACAATTATACCTTCTTGCTATGTTTTAGTTAAGTCCTTGTAACTATCTGTGGAATTTTTAAAAGATAATGAGATTAATTGAGGAAGTTAGAGATTGAATTTAATGTCATTTCTATTTTTTATTTAAAATTGAATTTCAAGATTACTTGAAAAAAAAAATTGATATAGCGAAAGGTGACAACTTCTGTTTGTCATACAAAATGTTGTTTATAAAATGTTGAAACCGTATTTGTCATGATGTAATACTAAAATGTCTTGATTTTTTATCCTGCTTCATTTATTAAGTCAAACTTTTCTTGCTTACTGAATGAATGAAGGCTTGGTTAAACTGAATTTGGAATAAAAATTACTCATTCTCATTAACATAAACTGAACAGATCTTTCTGGAAGTTACCTTATACATACAATAGTAATTACATTTTATACGACTTACAGAATTTTTTTTTTTTAATAAAAATTTAAGTTTCCCCCCAAAAGTCCAATAAATAAATTCACATTTTTTCATCGCATTTCTATAAATTAGTTGCAAGATAGATCTCAAGTCAATAAAAAAAAAACATTAACATAACATAAAAATAAGATTAACATAATCACACTTTCAAGCTATTTCTTTTCCTAAAAATTATACAGTTATATTAAAATAAATAATAACAAATTGATTTTTCAGCATAGAAGGCTTGTTGTGTTCAACTTATCTGACTGATGCGATATTCTGTAGGTTGACTTTTAAACTGTTGATTGTCTAATACAGTGTATTATGTTAACAGTCACTGAAAATATCTTGCTTTAATAAAAAATAAGACTTTTTCCTCTAATTTAAAAAAAAAAAATATTCAAAGGTCAGAATGATTAATAGTTTCAACTGAAAATTCAAAAAATATAAATAAATAACCTACATCAATTACATTGGTGAAAAATTTTTATTTACAATTATTATATATAAATGTATCCGAAAAAATAAAAAAACATATGATCTTGGGAAAGAGACTATATTACGTATTAGTAGAAAAAGGCCTTTTTAGCCTTGATAAAAAATAACTTTATTTTAAATTTATCCAAATTTTCACCTCTTCAGGTATCTTCAGGGATAATCTAAGGGATAAAAAATAACCAAATAGATAGGCGGCAATATATTTTGTATTTTATCAGCCTATTAAAATAAAATGTTAGGGTGTCTAGATTGTTTTATGAAACATTAATAAGTGAAATTTTTAACATTGTTCTGTACATTTCAGAGATCATTTAGAAAAGAGCTTTTTGAAGACGCTGCAATGAGAATGGAAAGATCGAGAATCAAGACTACTAGTGAAGTTGAAAGGTTTAGAGCTCTCTCTGCTAAATCTTATGAAATTTCTGTTGCCAATATTAAACGTGAAGTGGATTACAACGATGCACCGGATGAGTTTAGAGGTAAATTTTTCAATATTATAAAATTAATTAGCAAAATGTGGCCATCCTGTATTAGTAATTAATAACCTGCATTAGTTACTTAATTAATTAATTAGTAGTAAAATTATTAGTTAATATTACTAAAATATGTTTCCATAAATATTGTAATTGAAACTGATAAAATAGTGAGCAGTGCCATTTTTTTAAAATTAGTGATTGAATTATTGATTCTTTATTGACTTAAGAGCCTACAGCCTTTTCTTACAGACGAAAGTACTCTAACAGCTCAATTTTTAGCTTAAAAATTGCACTTCATAATATAATATGCTCTGTTTATAATATAATCTACAACTAAGTATCAATATTATTAAATGAAGTAGAATAAATGTTGATATTTTTTCTCCCTGGCTATTGGAGTGTCACAATCCCTCACAGTGCATAGGGGGGAGAGGAGAGGGGGGTTTCGTGCCAAGCTTCATGCCTTTAGAAGGGAAATCAATTCCCTATGTCCCTGTTGTGTTGTTCCGGAAATTGCTGAACATGTCGTCACGACTTGCAATGCTTTTCTATATTGCCGTGAGACAAGAGAAAATTAAAATAAAATAAGTAGAAGTAATAATATAAGATAATAATAAGAAGAAAAAAAGAAAGATATTATAGATGAATCTAAAGATATGAGAAACAGAAAAATTAAAACAAAATAGCGACATCTTTGTTTTTGAAAAAAATACTTCTTGTTTTCTGATTTAATATTTCAATGTTTTTTCTAAGACCTGTTCTCTTATTTATGTCCACCCAACCCTGCTGTGAACGGTGTTTGCAGCAGTAGACTTTTTAGTATCTCTGCACACTCTACAGACATAATATTTCTGATTGATTCTTTACATTTTATTATTTATTAATTTCAGATCCTTTAATGGACACCCTTATGGAGGATCCGGTTTTGTTGCCAAGTGGTAAAGTTATGGACCGCTACGTGATTATTAGGCATTTGTTGAATTCATCTACTGATCCGTTCTCAAGACAACCACTTTCTGAGGATATGCTTTTACCAGGTAAACTTTTTACATTTCTATTCCTTTGTTCGCTACTACTCTTATCGTCAAGTTTGGTTATATGAGTTGTAATGAATTAGTGAATTATGTAGAGTATCATTTTAAACTTATCAGAATGTTCTTTGCGTGATATTGTAAAAACATTGTATTATTAATTATTGTAAAATTAATAGTTTCATTATTTGAATTATTTATCTTGAGATTATCAACTTTTTAAAATTGATTTTTATAATTGTATTGCAGCAACGGAGTTGAAAGAACGCATAGAAGCATGGAAGAGGAGTAAAGAGCAGGCAGGAAAGATGTGAGGCACTCGTTGCGAGTCCAATTTTCCACCACCAATTGTGCCTTCTCCTGCCAGATCTTGAAGAGATGTTGGTGTAGGCTTGCCAGGACGCCTACAGAGAGGGTTTTGACTGAGTCCCCACAGCCTCTTCTGGCAGCTGTCTTTGTAAAGGATTCGTTTTCCATCGGTCTGCTCCAACCATTCCCCTTGAGATCTCTTTCTCATTTTTCTTTCTCACTCTAGTATATATATGTATATGTATACAAATCTTATATATTTGTGATTGATTTACTGCCCTGTATATAGTCCTTGTTGATTAATTGAACAGTATCACATTAAAGTTTAAAAAATAAATATTGTTTTTACTTCATTGCAAAAAGAAATTACTATTGATTCCAGATCTTGTTTTCTCAGATCTAGCGATTTTTAAATTTTTATTATTAGGTGCATACCTGAAGGGATTTTTAGTTCAGTAATTGTAAAGTCGATTTTATATATTGTTATAATTAAATAAATTTTTCCCTTTTTGTACCTAGGTTAAATATATTGTATATTAAATGAATGAAACACCTTTATTTGTAAGATCATTAAGTAAGTGTCAGGGGATTCTTAGATTCTGCGAAATCCCTGATCGCTTCTAAATCCTCGTAAATATACTGTGTATATAGTGTCTTATGTGATGTGATGTGTCCAATTGTACACTGATGCTCATTGGAATGATTATATTATTAAATTGGAAAACATACAAAAAAAATTCAAAATAGTGTAATAAAAATTTAAAAAAAGTGTAAAATGATTGAAATTATATGCTTTTACTTTTTATAAATTTCTGTGGCCTTTTTTTATACTTCCTTACTCCTGAATCAACTTTTAAATTGTTTTGGGTAATGTTTATTTTGGTTTCAAGGCATTAAATAAGTAAAATGTTGCAATGAAACATTTTATGTTAATGTTCAAAATTAAAATCATTAATTAATTAATGATTAATTTAATTTTTAAATTAAATTGTATTAATTAAAAATTAAAAGATGGAAAGATGGACATGGATAGAATTAGTCAATGTCTAACTGTATTTTGCTTTAGGTTGTATACTTGATCAACTTGTCCCCAGTGAAATATTAATCTCCTAAAACAATAAGTTCGTCATGTTTTATATTTGATTTTGTAACTAGCTTTTTTTGGGAAGGGAGGGTCTTTTATGAACTGGTTTCATTATTTAAAATATGCTCCATGACTACTGCTGTCGTGTTGGAGCGTCACCCGGTTCTGGCCTGGGCAGGTCAAAATTTATTTTGTGACGGACCCCTGGAATGAATCTCAACCATCCCGCTCTGGTTAGAAGGTTTGGTTGTATTTAAAAAACAATGCCACATATACAGAATATAGTGTAAGGTAGAGAGTAACCAAAAAAAAAAAAAAAAATTCTAATGAAAAAGTATATTCATTTCTTTTTCTTTAAAGCTAAAAATCTGAAAGAAATTAAATGTATCATTTTATACCACATCATCAGTTTTAAACTTGCCTTTTTACAATTTAGGCCTTGTTTTTGAAAATAGCTAAATGGTTGCTGATTTGCGCTAAAGAATTTTCGGTGGTGGTGATACAAATAATTTTGATTTTAGAGCAAAGTAGAAGTTGGTTGGGAGTACGGTCAGAGATAAAAGAACTTCTACCATGAATACATTTTGGTAAAACTACAGAAGTGTTACTCCGACATAGCAGATAGGCCAGGAATACATTGATACTTCATGATGAAATTCTGAAAATGTTTGAGTAGAAATGTAATAATCTCATTCACGTCTGTAAACTCACTTTAACTACATCACAACTTCACTTATTTACCTAAACGTAATGAATGGGTCCTTTTCAGTTGATTGGTGGATTGTCTTCCTTCTACTCGGAGCGTACTGCCGTTTTCAGAATCCTATTAATAGTGTGATCTTATGTCCAGCTTCAATATTGGAGTAACATTTGTGAAGTACCTAAATTTTTATAGCAGTCACTCATTTATATAGATTTAACCCTCTCATTGATACTGCAGTGTAATAATTATTGGAACCTTATGTTCTCTCTTATTTAAATAATATTAATCATTTCAAAATTGGTTACTAATGGATATCACAAGCCAAAATGGCTGAGCATCTTTGGCTAAATATCCTCTAGTTCTTGTTCCTTAGTAATTGTTCTATACCCATCTTAATCAACAAACATCATTTCAAGCATGATGAAGCAGTTACAACTTAAGGGGTTGCTATGCAACAGAGCATATGAGGAAATCAGAAATAATTTTAACTGATTAATTAATTTTAAATTAAGTATTAATTAATTTTTGACTGAAAGTAACCTTACTTAAAATTATGTAGAGTGGCATTTAAAAATAATTTGTGGAAAGTTAATTTATGTAAAGCAAACTTTTGGGCATGTGATTTGGAAGTACATAAAACATTTATATACTCTCAATTGTGTTCTCTGGATATCTATTGACCAGAAAATTGTGAAGTTCTGTAACATTAAAGGAGTAATTAAAAAATAAAATAAAATTATCAACTTTTTAAAAATACTTTTTGTCTTCAGTATACTTAACGTTACTTAGGTGTACACACCCAAAAATTGAGAAAAGAAAATTTCACTTGATAATTTCTATCTTTTAGATAAAATTCTAAGATTGATATTGTAAATAATGTGCATGTGGATGATACCTGGAGAGTAGTATAGCTTATTGAGTAAGGCACTTTTTTTTTATTGAGAAAAAATACATTTTGCCTCAATCAAGGGCATTGAGTATTTGAGATATAAGAAACTCATTCATACAATATATACAATTATAAAAATAATAGAAATTATAATAAAAATAAGAAAAAGAAACCTTAGTAAAACCGATGAAATAAAATATGATGTAACAAAAATAAAAACAAAACAAAAATAAATGAGAAAAATAAATAAATAAAACATTCATGCTTATTTACAATATTTACAGTCAGCCGAGGGAGCTCCAAGGCTCCAAGGGCCCTTTCCCCCATGTGTGGAAGATAAGTCAAGACTCTAAGAGATCCCAGCGCTTCTCTCTCAGCCGCATCACTGAGATGGATATCCAGTGGAGACTGAGAAAGGGCGCTAAAGCCACATACGCTCATGACTTGAGTGCAGAAGCTGGCCATTGCCAGGACTCCAATGACATATTTACAAAAGATCTCGAGGCCACTGCCTTTTTAACCTTCGAGGAGGATTGTAGGGATGGCTGGATCTAGATAAGGATTGTGCTAAGGGATTAGGATGATGGATTAGGTTTTGATGAAAATTTGAGAAACGAGATGGAATAACGCCAAGGACATAAGGGATGTTAAGATCATGATGTAGAGTTTTGTTTGTAACATAATAAGGAGCATTTACTATTGTACAAAGGACTTTGGACTGAAAAGATTGGATGCGTTTGATGTTCGAAAATTTAGTTGTCCCCCACAGTTCAAGTCCGTAGGTCCAAATGGGTTCAGTATGGTTTTGTATATTAAAGTTAGTTTTCAATTGAGAGGTTAGATTTTCTGTTAAGTAGTATGTATAACTGGCCAAATCTTCGGTTAAGTTCTTGTCTTTTAAGTCTGGTTTGTTGGTTCCATGTTAGTCTTTTGTCTAAAAGGAATCCAAGATACTGAACTGTGTCTGAGATGGGAAAGGTACTGAGTTGAAAAGGATGGTGAACAGGATCTGCGTCAGAGGGTAAAGGTGACCTGCTTGCATTTGGATTCACTGATTTTGATGCGCCAATTGTTGCACCACTACTCTATTAGGGAGATGTGTCTCTATAGGTTTAGGGATGCTGTTACAGGGTGTGCGTGGGATGATAGGATGGCGGTATCGTCAGCAAATGTTGCTAGAAGGAAATCAGGATGGGTTGGTATGTCAGCTGTGAAAAGAATGCAGAGAACTGAGCCTGAGACACTGCCTTGTGGAACACCAGCCTCAACTGGATAATAATTGGAGAATTCGTTGCCGCAGCAGACTTGAAAGGTAGGATTTCAGGACTAGGTACAAGGATAGAGGTAAGTGGGTTTTGAGCTTGAAAAGCAAGCCATCGTGCCACACCCGGTCGAAAGCTTGTGCTATGTCCAGAAAGGCACTAGTGCAATATTGCTTGTTTTCAAGTGCAGAGGATATATGGTCAACCCCGCAAAGGCCTTGTTGAATGGTGGAATGTCTTAAGCAGAATCCAAACTGATGGGAAGGGATATTGTAGGTTTCGAGAATGGGTAGGATACGTTTGAGAAGGAGGTTTTCAAAGATTTTTGAGAGGATCGGGAGCAGGCTTATTGGTCTATAGGATGAGGTATTGTTAACAGGTTTACCGGGTTTAGGGAAGAGGATGATTATGGAGTGTTTCCATATCAGAGGAAAATGAGTTGTACGGCGTATTCAGTTGTAGATGTACTGTAGGAATGTGAGAAATATGATTGCTTTTTTGGGAAGTTGTCTAAGGATCTGGGAAGTAAGGAAATCATGTCCAGGAGATTTTCGGGGTTTTAGGTTGTTTATAAGGAATTTGACCTCAGAGGGGTCAAGGAGGCAAGGAGAGAGGAATCGGAGAAGAAAGGAATTTTTTAACTTTAGCTGTGTGGGTGGGATGGAATTCAGGGTAAGGAGTGAATGTGTTGGATAGGTGTTTGGAAAATAGTTCAGCTCTAGTCTTATCTGACGAAGCCCTCGTTCCATCATTGCATGGGAGGAAATAGAGTGGTATTTAAGGATCTTTTTGGTCAATTTCCAGAGGGAGTTGTCCTTGGTGGAGAGGGAAGAAAGGTAGGAATTGTAGGATTGGGATCTAAAGGAAGCTAGTTCTTTTTTAACCTTTTTGGAATAATAATTTTATAATTTCTGATCATCAGGATGCCTGGTTCTTTGCCAGAGGGTCCTAGATTGGTGTTTGGATTTAATGAGGTCAGTAAGGTTTTGGAGTAAAGGATTCTTTTTAAGCGTTTCTTTGGAGGGAAGTGGTGAGGATGCAGTCCAGACTGCTTGTTGGATCAAAGCGGTGAAGGAACTCACTGCATTATCTAGGTCTTGAGAGGATTTTAGGGATACTCTTAGGTCTATTGCATCTGTTATTGTATGGCGGAAAAGGTTCCAGTTGACTGGGCCTCTGATGAATGAGGGAGGAGATAATTTGAGGATAGGAGATGCGGAAAGGGTCAGGTTTAGCGGACTATGGTCTGAGAAAAGATCATCACACAAGAGGAAAGGTCAGGATTACGGTTAGGATTGGTTGACCAGTATGTAGGAGTATCAGGGGAAAGAATGTTGCTATTGTGGGAATTAAGTGCAGGCGACAATGTTTAGCCGTGAGAATTAGTGGTTCTAGCTCCCCGAGTAAGGCACTGAAATCCACTCTCCTCTTTGAAATGGTTATTAATTATTAAAAATGGTTTATGAATGCTAACCATATCACGTAAATGTTGGTCAAGTAACAGTAATTCCTTACAATAATGAATTTCATAGTATTGTTAAAGCTAGTTTAGATGGCCACTGAGGATCACTCCAAGTGAAACCATGTAATGGAAAATTACACTGAAGATGATTTCAAGGGCGTTACTGAAGGTAACTCCACTCCAGAGATCCATTTTTTACTCTTAGGTACTGTGTTATTTGCATTGCTACAGTAAACTATCTTGAACTCATAAATACTACAATTCCAGACTTTAATAAGAAAAATTATATCTGAATATTACGGAAATTATTTTAACAGCCAAGATGGTGGAATTAGAACTTTATTTTTTAAATTTAATATAGTAATAATGAAAACAAAATATTAATTAATATCTCTTAGGAGACTTA